TAATAAAACCTGAACTACAGAAATGACCCGCAACATTTCAACATGGAAACCTCGTTTCAGTTAGTCCAGTTACAACACACACGAATGTTCTGGCAGCACATTCACCTGCACCCGGCGCGCTTCAGCGTCAAATGAAACCTCCAATCAAGAGTCGATCTGTGGACTAACACTGAGAGGTGTAAGACATAATGCATCTATCACTTAGTTGTCATTGTTGACCTTTGTTTTCTTTTGAGACATCCTGAATCACAGGACCGGTTGAAGGCGGAGAAAACAACATAAAATGCGAGAACTGATTTCATTCGATTTGACGTTGCTAAAATTAAACTCCAATCAACCCTAGCGTGGGTTCTTCTACAACTTACTTGGAAGTAATCCCGGAAAGGAACTCGTGTCGGAACCTCTTGCATAACCTTAAATAAAGACAATATTGCCCTGCTTACCACGAAATTCTTCTTTTCAGGCTCCGCTCCCCACAAATGCTTTTATTTCTGGTTTTAGACATGATCAATTCATAGCCAATTTTTTTATTTATTGAACATACTGATTAATTTTGCACTTGAAATTATATACGGGTCTGATCAGCTCTACCGCGAATGACGCCTCTCGCAGAAATTGGACATAAGGTGTGAGAAAGAAAATGGCCGGAATGTTAACAAACAACCGATCACAGTTAAGAGTACTTCTTCCTAGCCGAATGTATGTTGTTTGAAGAAAAAATATCCACAGCGAAATCGAGGAAAACGAGCCAGAGAAATTTTAACAGATCACTCGAAAGTTTCTAAACCCAAAAGAGGTTGAGAATACGAGCTAGATAGCTTAAGAGACTCTTAACAGGGACGATGGCTGCACTCGAAAGGCAATCATATGAAGAGTCTACTCTTCCGCCATTGCTGTATGGGCATACGTCTGACTAAAATGCGAAGTCCTGGAGAGGAAGAATAGGTACCATGAAAGGCAGAAAACTTTAGTTCTAAAACTCCGCACGCTCTTATTTGTTCAGTGCAGTAGCCTATATTGTTGTCCTTTGTTTTTCGTGGCCTTCAAGAACAAAATGGAACAGATGATTTCAATTATGCAAAAATGACAATGGTGTGGGGTTCGTGTCGTTTTTAGATGGTCCAAAAAAGACGAGACAGAGTGGGCTGCAGAGTAAGAACATAGATTTCCAGCCAAGGTCGTGTACAGCACCAGTTAAAGGAAAATGGTATCCGGTGACCTCTTTAAGCGATTTGTCCAGCGAAGACCACTAAATATGCAATGATCCGGTTCTTTCTATCCCAGTGTCAAACTGAACCGAAATTTGAATGTCAAAATCTGCTTTAAAAGGCAACAGTCAAGCGTAAATATCATAAGCAGCATGATGCAAACGGGGCGGGACGGTATTATCCGTAAATTAGAGAGAGGAAAAGGTCACGAATCTGGCAGCGTCAAATTGGCAGCGTCGAAAGAAAACCAATTCTTACTAACATAT